GGGATGCATATTGCATTGTATCCCCACATCTGGATGTGTTAGGCTCTGTTACTCCATCACCATACATTCCCATAAATGAGAAGCCACAAAATAAGGTAAACAACTGGTATGAATGAAAACAACAATAACAACAAACTACTACTATCTCCTACAGCACCACAAAAAACATGCCACTGAGTAACCAATGCATGGGTGACAAAATATTTTGAATCTTATAGTAGTAATTTTTATAAAGATTTGAATTATTGTATGGTCTCAACTTGGTTATTTTGCTATGTGACATAATTTTTAAAATTATAAATATTTGATAGATGGTATTTATTTCCCAGAGTTATATTTTGGGCTTATAATCGCTTAATATCTTTTTAAACTGCTAGTTTTTAAAAAATTTTTTTAGGGGATGGAGTGGGGCATACATTCATTGAAAGTAGAGTGCAGTGAAATTTGTGGAAAGCTAAGAAAGGGAATGAATGCACAGGATCAGGTGCAGAGTGGATTCTTTCTGGATGCTGTGAACAGAATGTGACTATCTTCCAGGGGCTGGCTTGGTGAAGGTCAATCTCTGCTGGTTGAGGAATGCTTTCCTCAGCTTGGGTCTTTGCCTCGACCTTCCCAGTGGTGTCACTGGGATCAACCTTGAGGGTGATGGTCTCACCAGTCAGGGTGGTCACCAAGATCTGTATGCTACTTCTGGGAAGGACTACCAGGTGCAGGATAGAATCTTTGTGGATGTTTTTAAATGACAAATATTTAATTTTAAAATATTTATTTGAGAAAAACAGAGAGACAGAGGCAGACATTCCATAAATTGGTTCATTCCGCAAATGTCTGCAATAGCCAGCGCTGGACTGGGCTGAGGCTAGGATGCAGAAACTGCAGCCAGACCTGCCAGGTGCATGGATGAGGATGCTTGATTGATTCACGTGTCTGGGTCAACTTGCAGTCTCCTACTTTACATGGGCATTAAGGCGTGAACTAGCTGTGGGATAGTGCTGTGTATTTGAGTTCTTTTTTTTTTTAAGATTCTACATACTTAAACAAGTGAAATTTTATGATGTTTGTCTTTCTGTCTGGTTTCTTTGCTTTTTCAAAATTTTTATTTGAAAGGCAGGAGAGACAAAGAGAGTTCTGACCACTGGTTAACTCTTCCAATGTGCACAACAATGGAACCTGATCCTGGAACTCCCATCTCCCACATGGTGAAAGGGACCCATCCATGTGCTTGAGCTGTCACCTGTTCCCTCCTATGGTGTATCTTTTTGGAAACTGGAATTGGGAGCAGGTTGGACTTGAATATAAGCACTCTGACATTTTGCCCAAGCACTGTCTTAACTGCAACACCAAACTTCCACCTCAAAATCTCCTTTTTTAAGGCAGAAAGATATTATGCTTTCTCTCTCTCTCTGTGTCTCTGTGTCTCTCTGTCTCTGCCTCACATTTTCTTCAGTGATTTATCTGCTGATAGAAATTGACATGTTTTCAATGCCCTGGATGTTTTAACATTACAATGAGTCTCATTGCAGATTTCTTCATAAGATAATTTCATTCTCTTTGGGGTAGACCCAAACAGGGATTGCTGACTCATATAGCTGTTCTATTTTTATTTTCTTTAGGAAGCTCTGTACTGTCTCTCATACTGGTTGTACCAGTCCACACTGTACCGTTTTCCCCAGTGTTTATCATTCCTGTCTTCTTAGTGATATTCATTCTAAAAGATGGGAGCTAATTTCTTATAGTGGTTTAAATTTGCATTTTATGATCCTTGGTGATGTTGAACATCTTGTGTATTGGCTGTTTTTGTGCCTTCTTTGAAAAATATTTGTTTAGGCCCTCTAATATTTTTATTTTTATATATTTTTGAGACACAGAACAGAGAAGAAAAGCACTCCCATCCCCCATGTTGTTCCCCAAATGCCCACCATGGCTGGAACTGAGCTGGGCCAAATCAAGGAGTCAGGAACTGTACCCTGACCTCTAACGTGGGTGACAGTGACCTAACCATTGGAGCTATCAGCACTGCCTCCCAGCATCTGTGTTAGCAAGAACCTGGACCTGAAAGCTGGAGCTGGAACTCCAGCCAAGACACACTAATACTCCTAGGATAGAGGCTTCCTAACTGTGGCACCAAATACTTGTTTCTGTAAGGACTTGAAAAACTCAAGTATCACCTCGCCAGATGTGTAATATAGAACTGAAAGCTTAGTGACTGCCCTCTGGAAGTTTGGAGTCATGCTTCTGCTAACTTGTTTCATTTTAAAAGGCAATCTTTAAGCATTCCCAGTATTTCACATTGCTCAAAGTATAGTGTTGCTCTTCTTAAGATCTTTTTCAAATTTAGGATTTGTGGGCCTGGCGTGATAGCCTAGTGACTAAAGTCCTCACCTTGCACGTGCCAGGATACCACATGGGTACTGGTTCTAATCCCAGAAGCCCCGCTTCTCATCCATCTCCCTTCATGTGACCTGGGAAAGCAGTTGAGGACAGCCCAAAGCTTTGGGACCCGGTACCTGTATAGGATACCCAGAAGAGGCTCCTGGCTCCTGCTTCTGATCAGCTCAGCTCTGGCTGTTGCATTCATTGGGGATTGAATCATCAGACAAAAAAATCTTCCTCTCTCTCTCCTCCTCTCTGCATATCTGACTTTCTAATAAAGATAAATAAATCTTTAAAAGAAATAGGAACCTAAAACTCTTTCCAGGTCCCACTTGGATGGCAAGGGCCTAGGTACCATGGGACATTTCCACTGCTTTCCCAGGCACACCAACAGGGAACTGGATTGGAAGTGGAGCAGATGAACTCAAAATGGCACCCATATGAGGTACTGGCATCACAAGTGGCAGCCTTACCCACTGTGCCACTGTGCCAGTCCCCTCGTGGTATGACCAAGATATTTTCTGAGTGCTGAGATGGAGCTGAGCATGAATGGAGGTAGAGGAGCAAAGGCAGGGGCAATGCTGCTGATGAGCGTTATAACAAGAAGGCAGACCACTTCCTGCAGCTTTGGACAAAACCAGGACATCATGAGCCCTCTCCCTGGCCTCCTTCCCGTGTATACCATTGTGAAGGAGAAGCCAGCCCCAATCTGAGAGAACATAAGAAGAACGTACAGGGCAGTGGGAGAAGTGTGGCGGCCTGGGCTGAGGAGTCTGGCCCGTCACCAGGTCCCTAAAGCTGTCATTTGTCATTCATAGGGAGTATGGCAGTTAGGTTGCTTTCTTGGGACACCTGCATCCTAAATGGAAGTTTCTGGATTCCAGGCTCCCCGTTTTACCTTCCTGCAAATAACACTCCACAGTGGGTCCCTGCCACCTACTTGTGACACCTAAATTGAGTTCCATGCTCCTGCATTCAATCTGGCTTAACCCTAGATTATGTCTCTATTTTCTCTGCCTTTCTGGGGGAGAGAGAGAAATATAGAGACAGAGAAACAGAGACATAGAGAAAAAAGTGCAGTCTTTCTGACTAGGTTTAATCATGTCAGTGCTGAGGTCGGGCCTGTGTAATAGTACTAACAATAATACATAATATATATGAATTATTTAACATGTGCTCTCCCTATACATTCTCAGTGCATTGTCACACATACACAAATGACCTCAGAAGCCAGTTCTGCAGCTCACTAACTTTGTCTAGTTATGGATTTACTGAGTAGCAGAGTCAGGATTTGAAGTGAGGCCCTTTACTCTGCTGTCTTCTTACATCCCTAAAATTCTATTTTGTGGGTGGCTGAAACTTCCTAGACATGGGGCTGGCACTTTGGTGCCATGGGTTAAGTTCTCACTTGTGACCCCAGCATCTCATATGGCATCAGTTTGAGTCCTGGCTCCTCCAGTTCTAGTCCAGACCTTGGGCTATGTGTCTGGAAAAGCAGTAGAAGATGGACCAAGTGCTTGATTTCCTGCCACCCATGTGGGAGACCCACATGGAATTCCAGGCTTCTGACTTTGGCTGGCCCAGCCCTGGCCATTGTGACCATTTGGGGAATGAACCAGTGGATGGAAGCTATCTCTGCCACTTTCTATCTCTTTCTCTCTCTCCCTCTGCTATTCTGCATTTCAAATAAAATAAATAAGTCTTTAATAAAAGTGATGCATGAGCACATCATTCTGAGGTGATTTCCAGCAACATTTATTTCATTCATCTTCCTAGAGGTGGAAGGGGGGGAGTTGCTTTTACTCCTGAACGATTCATGAGTAACGGAATTGGGTTCCAACAGAGGGGTATGTGAAGATTGCCCTTAACGCAGGGACATGGCTTACACCTGAATTGGTGTGGAGTGTGCTGTGGCCTAGGAGATGTTGATGGTACTGAAACTTAGGGAGTAAGGACAGACTTTGATATGGCGCTGGACCGTGTCAGGCACATTGAGAAGCAAGGTGAAATTCGATCCATGGAGGCCCAGAGCAAGCAGGCTGCTTTCACAGTACCTGAAGCATCTCATGCCTTTCATTCTGTTTCTACTCCATCATTCTCAAACATTGTCCTGAGTTTTCAGGGGCTAGTAGGGTCGGGTGGGGTGGGGTGGGGTGGGGTGGGGTGGGGGAGGTTTACCTTCCTTTGGACCAGTGCACTCCTTTTGGCTGGTGTCCAGGCCTTTCTAATGGAATGTGACTACTGGGTTTGTTAAAGCAGGACAGCCTATGCATTTCCACTGTGTCTCAGGACAGCTGTCTCTGAAAATTAGCTCCTCTGTCCTCTGCAGATCCAGATGTTTGATTCTATCAGTTAATCCACAGCTATAATGATGCATTATGCCTTGACACCTTTGAGCCGCACCTGAGAGCTGATGTGTTCTTAAACTTCCAAAAAATCATGAACCATTCCAGCTGTGCATTTAGATGGCTGGGAGCATGAATTAATAACCATCTCATCACCCTGGAGACACTGTTGCTTCTGTGAGCTAGCATGGAGATGAGGCTGCACAACGCTGTGGGAGGGGTGAGTGGATGACTGCTACTCACTTAACTGCTGTTCCATTCTCTCCCTGTTTTCTTTCCTAGGAAACAAATGGAAGACTGCTGCGACCCTGCCCATCTCTTTGCTATGACCAAAAAGAATTCCCCCATGGGGAAGAGCATGTGGTATGATGGGGAATTTCTGTACTCTTTCACCATTGACAATTCAACATATTCCCTCTTCCCTCAGGTTAGTACAGCATTTGTTGCCTTTCAGTATAGATCTTTTAATATTTCTTGCTGTCATAGCAAGGAAATCATTGAGTTTGTCCAACCCATTCAGGTGTACCCGTTTTTATCATCTTTCTTCTCTTTTGGTTTTGAATGCTTTTCTTTCCATCTGGCATCTTTCGGCGACTAAATCACATAACGTGTGCATGCAAGTACACAGCCAGGATATTCCTGAGAAGCGGGGTGTTGAAGGGGACAGTCTTCTTACCCCTTCTGATTGGATTCAGATGAGACCGAAAGAAGCAAGTGGGGAATGGCAGGGACTTGTGGTGCTCTTGTGTTTTGAGGTTGGCTGTGGAATGCTGTTTAGGCTTTGTGAGATGGCAGTGTTTTTGTAGGACTGCTGCTGTGCTCAGGGAGTGGGGACCATATGGTGGGAAGTGCACATCTCAGGACTCTTGAATGTGAACCCTGTGGTCAGATGCTTCCTGTGAAGTAGAGGAGTGATGGAGAAGGACGGGAGGAATTCTGGCCGACCACTTTTGAAGTGGTCTGAATCAAGATCTGCTTACTTAATGTTTTTCTTCTTGGTTTCCTGGGCATGGAAATAAAATGTTTTACTAAAATGTAGGTAGGCAGAAAGTGAGGATGGGGAAACAAAGTCTTTGTGCCTGGGAAACCCTAATGGTGTGGGAGGGGTAAACTTTAAGCGAGATTGCTATGAAAAAGAACTTGAGAGATAACTTATGGCATACCCAGCTGCTCTAACCACTCCCAAAGATTTAAAGGAGAAATGCTCGGAAATTGAGGCATGACTTTTGCCATGTTCAACATTCTACTCTCTAAGAGACAGTCCACATTTATTAGCCCATCCTTAGATGTGTCAGTTTAATTTAATGATTTGGTTGTGGTTGTAGTATTTTTTTACTTAGAATATTTAAGTCTAATTCATTGTCAGCATCCTACTGTTTTTCTCTTCTTTGTTTGCACTCAGTATACTTTTTAGTACCAAAGAAAATGAGTAAACATTGTAAAATGCGGAATTGAATTTTGTTTCCATCTCTCACTGTTTAATTGCCTTGGCTATGTCACTTCACTTGTTGGAGACTCAGTCCACTCACCTGCATTTTGAGAGCAGAACCTGTCCTGTTGACCACACAGAACTATTGTGAAGTTAGATTTAGATAATGCATGCTTGAAAATGATAGCTCGCTTAGCGTTTATGTTATACTGCTTCATACATTGGAATCTTGAGGTTAAGGAATGAGAAATCTGATTGTATTATTCAGGTAGAAAGCTATTCTACCTGGGGAATTAAATGCTTTAAGAAGTCATTGGAAGGGGCTGATGCAATAGCATAGTATGGTAATCTTCTGTCTGAGATCCTGGGCATCCCATATAGGTGTTGGTTCCATTCCCAGCTGCTCCACTTCCAGTCCAGCTTCCTTCTGGTGGCCTAGGAATGCAGCAGAGGATGACTGAAAGTTTTGGGCCCATGTACTCACATAGAGACCTGGAAAAGCTCCAAGAAGCTCCTGGATCCCAACTTTAGCTGTTGTGGCCTTGTGGGGAGTGAATCACCAGACTGAAGATATCTCTCTGTGTCTCCCTCTCCCCCTCTGTCTAAAACTCTTTCAAATAAAATAAATAATTTTATCTAAAGAAGTCATTGAAAGAATGGTGATGTAGGAGTCAAAGGGAGGCTCCTGGAATTATTGCCATCAAGAGCTTATTGCCAGAACAGTGCCCCAACTGCAATTGTGAAAATACTTCCAGTCATGTGCAACAGGAGACAATACAAATTCTTATCTAAATTCCCTTCAGGTGCCACTATTGGGTAACGGTGAATTTTCATTCCAGACACTAGTTGTGAAGGCATCCAGGAGAGGCAGCTTATAAGCATCAAACTTCAAGATGCATCTGGGTAAGCCAATCTACAGGGCTCTGTGTGCATAAGTACTGATAGCCACTTACTTGGCAGTGATATGAGATAGAGAAACAGTTACTGAAGTTTATCTGTTAGTTGCAGCAGGAAGGTGGTGGGAAAATTCTCCTCCTAGCATTTACAAATGAGCTCTGTGCCTCTTTGTTCCAGTGGCAAAACTAAGCAACCATCCCAGATTAATGAAGGAAAAATCCTTTTTCTCCATAGGAATAAGAGTTTATTAAATTATTGTGTGTACACAGTCATTACAAAAGGCTGAATAAATTCAGTGATTAGGATTTTTAAAGTTATTTGTGATTTTTTTTTTTGCTGAGATTCTGAATGGACTAATATAGAAATTCTGGGGGAAAAAAATTTGTATCACCAAAAGGATGATGCATTTCCCTCTGCCCTCACACATGATTGTTTCTTATTCTTCCTTAGTTTTATTTGAAAGACAAGAGACAGGTAGACAGAGGGAGATTTCCTTTCTTCTGCTTCACTCCCCAGATGTTTCCAGGAGCTGGGACTGAGGCAAAGTCAGGACCCCAGAATTCAGTCCTGGTTACCCATGTATGTAGCAGGTACCCAAGTACTTGAGCTGTTTCCTGCTGTCTTTCAGGATACACATTAGCCAAAAGCAGGAATTAGAAGCAGAACCAGGACTTGGACCCAGGTCCTCTGACGTGGGATGTGGCGTTCCAACTGATGTCTTACCCCTTGTGTCCGATACCCACTTTCCCATTATTCCTTCTAGGTGCAATTTTTCTAGTTTGTCATCAGCAGTCTAAGTTGATAGGTAATTTATATGGTGCATTTGTGCTCACTGTGAGAACAAATAGTGTGTGTAGATGAGGTACAATTACAAGTTGGACAGGTTGGATGCCAAAGTTGTGAGCAAAGCATCTCTTTTCATAAGATTAAACAGATAATAACCAGGTTCTTTATTTTCCAACACAGATCACATACCCGTGCCATTTACTCATTCCTCCAAATGCTCAATATGTTAGCTGGCATGGTTTTGAATATTCCTTTGTCTGCTGCTTTTGTTCATTGTTGCCAAGACGTGATGTACAAGTGGAGTGTTTTGTGTGTTGACCTCTCTGACCTCTTTATAGTTTTATCAAATCTATGTAATTCTGTTGCATATAACAGTTATCTATATTACCACCTTTGTTCAATTTTCTAAAATTCCATGTCTGCTTGTTGCAGTGTTATTTTGTGAGCTTTTCAAGGAGCCAGAGAGCTTTCATTTGTGTGTCTAGTGTAGTGCCTCTCGCTTGATGGAGGTGTTTGTTTCCAGTTGCTTGTGCTTGTGAAAGCTTTCCCTGCCTGTGTCCCACTTGGACTAGACTATTGTAGTGCTCTTGCTTGAATGTAAAAGACAAAGCAGGACATTCTAATAATTTAAAAATTTCTATTTATTTGAGAGGCAGAAATGAACAGCCAGCAGTGAGAGCTTATATCCGCTGATTCACTCTCTAAATGCTTGTGATGCCTGGGGCTGGCCCTAAGCCCAAACCAGGAACCAGGAACTCAGTCCTGTCTCCCGCCAAGGGGTCAAGCAATTACAAATACCCCAGAAGGACATCTTGATATAGCTGTTTCCAAATGGCTCTATAAATGTGCTTTGGTGAAATGTTTGTCAGATATTATTTGGTGTGAAGGACTGGATTTTGATCACCACAAAGCATTCTTTGAATACACAGTGTTGGTGTGTGTGTCTATGTTTGCCTGTGTACCTGGAGAAGGCAGTATGGGGGTGTGATTGTTCATGCCCCAAGCATACCTTGCTCCCTGTGTGGAGGGTAGTTCTTTTCTCCTTAGCCAGGGATTATCCCTTTTAGGATGACAGCATCCAGCATTGCAGGAATTATTGAACCAAAAGTCTCTTTTGCCCAGAACACATTGCTCAGAAAGAGTATAAATTTCCTTAGAAATGAGCAAGGGAGTTGCAAGAATGTTAGAAACCACAGCTGTGCTGATATAATCTGAAAAATATTTTCTTTTGGTGTAATAGAGCTGTCGTTCACTGTTCTTCCAGCATTTGCTGGGAAGTCACACGATCTGAATCACAGCTGAGAGCCACCTTGCTGTCCCCGGCTGTTTGCCCAGGGCTGGAGGTGTGGAAGTGTAGTACTTGGCTCACACATCTTGCAAGGACACCCATCTTTAACTCTTTGAGTTGGGCCCTGTGTTCAAGGAGTTGGATCCACAGTGTCCTTGGCCTGGGGGATATTTAGCAGGACATGTTCAAGTGGTTTCTTAAAATGGTCTTACTAGAATTTTTTTTCCCTTTCAAATCTCCTGAACACCTCTGAGTCTCTCAGTGATTCTTTTAATCCATGTAAGGAAATTTTGGTCATATACTATAATTTATAACACTTGGCAGCTTGCTTTTTTACTTACCAATATTATTGTAACTATTTCCCCCAAAACATGTTTTTGACTGAAGGCAAATGAAAGAGGCTTGTGTTAGGTTGTGTTGTTAGGGTTCCAGTGGCTAGTTTGTCATAGGAACTGCATAAAGTGCTTAAGCAAGTATGTCCTTTTTTTTTTTTAAATATCTCTAGTGGCAGGGAATTAGGGAGTTTGTAATTCTGTGGCTGGAAAATGGCCACACAATGACTCAAACTCTCAGACCACTGTCTCTCTGCTCACCTATTCTTAACTAGTGTCCCAGCAACTCTCCATCATGGCCTAGGCTCCCAGCAGAAAGAAAGAAGGGGGGCAGTCCAGGCTGACTGCCTGTGCCAGTGGGCAGGAGTCACATGGGCCTGTCTCGCTGCAGGAGAAGCTGGGAAGTCTTTCCACACTAGCCAAATGTGCTGCGTTTATTGAATTGTCTCACCTTCTTCACCAGTTTCCTTGCTGTGCCTCTGCAGTTACTGCTTGTTATTATTATCATCACTGGTTCATGGATGAAGCAAAAACTAAAAGTGGTTAAATAATTGATCCAAAGTTTCAGAGTTGGTTGGCAGAGAAGCTGAAATGAGGAACCCAGGCTGTCTGGTTATGAAGATGTTAGTATTGGCAATCTTGTTTATTTCATTAAAAGACGTGGGGCTCTGGTAGATTGGTCAGTCATTATTATA